GTATTTTGGTGAAACTCGCTGTGAATTTGTTCTTATGTAAGACTCATATTTTGATGAAACAATCGAGTTCAGCCGTTTTGGACAAGTGGTGAATTATTAAGTGTCGTGGTACAAAAACCAAAAAAAAATCAGTTGATTTCATCCACCAAATAAAAAGTTCTTGTAGTTTTTGTACTACGATGTTCAAGAATTCACCACTTGTCCAAAACGGATGAACTCGACTCTTTCATCAAAATATGAGCCTTACATAAGAACAAATTCAAAAAACGATTTTTCAAAAGATAATTTTTTTGAAGAACTTTGACCACCAATAGCAGAGGATCCAGACATTTTTTGTTAGTAAAATTTAGGTCAGATCGTCTTCTTTTGATGCAAAGAATATCGCAGTATCCCTTTGATCATGTGCTTACGAGACACCCTGTATAAGCCGTAAATTGAAACGGAATTAATTTAATAAAAACAAGAATAATAATTAAATTAAAAGATGATAATAATAATCAATACGAAACAACAAAAAAAATGTCAGGCTATTTGCTAATTTAATAAGTTTAATTATTTTATAATTCAAAATTGTTGACCCGTACTTTTTCATTGTCTATTAGAATTCGGAAGATCTTCATCCAGAGAAATCGAATATATTTTCATGTAGTGTAACTTACATATTCTAACGAAAATACAACAATGACATAACTACAGTAAAATGCAGATATTTAAATATTTTTATTGGACTTACAGAATTTTACTGATAGAAAACAAACTCAATTATTAATAATGTATTTCGTCGCAAGGATTAAAGTATATTACTGGTTATTGAAATTAAAATTTACCTAAAACTGGAGCAAAAATGTAAAGTAATTTTCCACGTAGAACTACATACAAATATGATACAAACGAATGCAAGCTTTTCAAAATGTGTATGACCAAGCGTTTAAACAGAGTAACCAACACGTTCATTCATTGGATAATCGGTGGCGATGGTTTCTAATAATTAAAGATGCTTTTGAAAAAAGTCTTTCCGCTGGAACTGAAGTTGGAGGAACGACATTAATACCTAAACTATTCAGGTTTATTGTAATTGTATTTTTCAAGTTACGGATAACAGCCTATTCTCATTGAACATCCTGTATAGTGTAAGTTAAAGATATATTCACTTCAATAGTATTTCCTTTAAGATGGGTATTGAGCAAAATCAATTAAATGTTAGCAAATGATAAATATATATTAAAGAAAGATAAATTGGTATTAAGGAAATTATAAATAAATACTAGAAAATATATTTTTTTGTATATTCAGCTACAGTCAAAAGGGTTACTCTATGAGACAAACTCAGCTTGTACTTAGACAAACAAAAGGGCACAAACACCACATGTTGATCAAAAAGCAATTTTATGGAGACAATAATTTAATATCGACAACTACTTAACTAACTTTATTTTGCAAATATTTATACCACGTACCCCCGATTTAGGTAATCTTAAAGAAAAGCATCTGGAAGCGATCACATTTTAAGTTCGTAATGTTTTATTTATGACACTTGTTCACAACTTTGGTTTCTAATTTAATGTTTTCGGTTAATAAGCGTTTAAAACGGTCCATTTTTCTTTTCCATCATATTTAAGGGCTACGAGGTCAGATTTAATGCGGCTCAGTATCGGATTATTATATTGGGCACATTTTGTTTAGTTTTATCGTTTTCTGCCGGGGTAACCCATGCTTAAAAACAAATATAAATAAGATCGGATGGTCTTGCAAGGGATGGTCTTGGTCTTGGTCTAGGTCTTGCAAACCAAAGGCAGTCTTAGTCTTGGTCTTGCATTTCTTCCAAGATCAAGACGAAGCCTGCAAGACCACAGCCAGTCTCGCTCATCACTAAGTATAGGAATGTCAGCTTCTCAAATGTTGGTATAGTTTTCAAGTTCATATCTATTAAACCACTGTTTGAAATGCCAAATTTGTTAGAAGCATCAGGTGGAGCTTCTTTTATCGACTGCTAATTTCAGCATCTTGATATTTATCATGGAAGTGGAGCAATCAGCCACCAATAATGAGAGTGAAAAAATGAAGAACTTCCGACTAAAACCCTA